AATGTACTCACTGTGTAAACTCGATTAAGAGTCCGCACATATATTGTGTCTCCGTCTCGTCCTCGCTCCATTCACCCGCAAAATGAGTTTCTATCTTGCGTAGTTGACGGTTGACAAAGATATAGTCCACCCCATTAAGTACTGATTCTCCTAATCGCTTAATAGCTCGACCAGAAAGAGAGCCAAAGCCGTAGACAGTGGAAGTAGATGTTTCAGTTGCGTTGCTTGAGTAAATGCTGGAGTAGATGCTGGAACCATCGTTCAAAACACTCATCGCTGAGCACTGACTGGTGGAAGTGGAGAGAGAGCAATTGTTGTGCCCCGTACAACAGCTTCTTTACTCTGACAATGGGGCTATGCACATCTCAACTGTCCTTTGGATTCTTGAACTACGCGGTTGATTTCACACTCCACACTAGTTGCCATCAGCCCAGGTCGTTCACCCAGTCCTACCGACCGGCAACGGCTATATTCCACAAGGAAGCTATCAGAGCGAAGCTGATCTCCTCGAGTCGGTGCAACTTGAAGTAGAGAAGCAATGCAGTCCTTGCATATCAAGTTGTCTTGTGCACGCACGTCGCGTAGGTTGTCCGCAGCAAAAAAAGAATTGCTGTTCACCGTATCATAGATTTGGGTTTTCGAGATCGTGGAACTGTGGTTTTAAAAAAAGGTACCGAAGAGGTGTATCTGATGACCAAAATATGATCCCAGTGACTCTAAAACTGGGCATATATGCCCATTATCACAGGTCTTGGGGCACTAGCTAGAGCACGGAGCAAGAGACGCCGGGTGTATCATGAGATTCGACTTGAAGGTGTACTAGTTGAACGGCAACAATCAAACTGAGTTCATGATCGTCGCTGCGCGGGAGGTATGCTAGATCGTTCTCTGAACGGTATTGGGCGGAGAGCGTACAACTTGCCAGTAGCCGAGGATGATGGGGGTTGCATGAAGAGGATAATTCAATTGAGTTCCAAATTTGGCAATGGTACATCATCGAACCGGGGTAGCGGGACAACAGGCACTCCGCAACCGCTGATGTTTCTCTCGCTCACCATGATCATGGTTCGGCAATGGTTGAGCATTCTGCTCGCCCTGGTCTCCACTTCTACCGCTATTCAACACGCTTTCTCGACTCAAAACGGTACTCTGGCGTCTCAGAACGTGTTTGATCATGAAGGAAACCTATTCACCCCCGTGGAATCGCTGGAATTCGTATCAGAGTCAGAATTCACAACTCTTCGACACCCTTTCTTCCCGAAACACAGCGCTAGGATCAAGAAGTCGCGGTTTTGTGACCATACAGTCAAGTACGTATGGAATTTACTTTGTCAGAGACATATTCTAATGACCAGTCGCGACTTATAGTGCGTACACCGGTTACATTGACATCGAGGCCCGACACCTATTTTTTTACTTCTTCGAATCGAGGTCCAATCCTGACAAAGACGATGTGATATTCTGGACAAACGGAGGTGACGGCTTTCGGGAAGTTCATTGAATGATGGGCCTGACAGTGCGCATGGTTATTAAGGACCTGGAGGCTCATCGTCGTTGGGATTGTTCATGGAATTAGGTACGTTACGATGCTTTTATTGCGAAGCAGGATGTTGAAAGTTAATCCCATTAGGACCATGCCGAGTCCTCGACGACAAAGGAGAGAAGTTCCATCCAGAGTCCTGGAACTCGAATGCGAACATATTCTTCGTCGACCAGCCAATCGGTGTTGGTTTTTCTTATGCTGAATACGGGGAATCAGTTGTCAGTGAAAGTTCTTGCGCTACTCATCCCTCAAGTCTTCTAACAATCAGCGAATAGAGCACGACTGAGGAAGCTGCTCAAGACATAGCTGCCTTTGTCGCTATCTTCTTCGAGAACTTCAACCAGTTCAAGGGTCGACCCTTCCATATGGCTGGCGAATCGTACGGGGTGAGAGCTCTGGGACATTTTCTCAGCAGAATGGCATTAACATCTCCCTCGATTGACAGGGCCGCTACATCCCTCTCTTCGCATCTGCAGTATACGACCAGAACACCGCGCTCATCGAAGCTGGACTAGCTCCGGTGAATCTCAGCTCTATCATGATAGGTAGGCCGCTCTGAATATCTTGAGAATTCGCAGCTTCCGAAATGACGGGTTCTCCGAATGACAGGAAACGGAATGACAGAACCATTCGAGATGATGTGGTCCTACCATGACTTTATGTGCACCGAAGCTACGCTACCCCCAGTGGTTAGCATCAGCACTTGTGTTCAACTGAAACCGGTTGTGAGTTCGGTTCTATCTCGACGGTGGCCGGGTACTGACGTCCAAGGGTTAACAGGTTGAAAGATGCAAGAAATGGACCAAGGCTGCCTGCCTCGACCAGTACGACGCTATCAATTGCGGTGCGGCATCGACCTGGTGTGAAGGCAATCTCTTTTCTACATTCGTTGCTACCGGTATGTCGAGCCTACTCCTAAACCGAGCTTGCAATCTCATCTAACGTTTTTCTGTCCAGGCCTTAATCCTTATGATTACAGTCAAAAATGCGACGGAACGCTCGAGGACACTCTTTGCTACTCAGCGTTCAAGTAAGTCTCAGTGCTTTTGGATTATTGTACGCTAGCTAACCCGCCCGAACACAGACACATCAACAATTTCCTCTCTAACCCCAAGCTGCGAAAACAACTTGGCGTCGACACCCACCCTTCCATCCCAGCCAATTTCAGTGCGATCAATTTTGAAGTCAATACCGCCTTCGCCTTGGCTCAAGATGGATGGCATCCTTCTACGGCTTACGTTGCCGCGCTCCTGGAACGAGGCGTACGAGCGCTCATCTACGTCGGGACGTACGACTGGATATGCAATTGGGTTGGGAACGAGAGGTGGACGCTTGACTTGGAGTGGAGCGGAGGTGAGAACTTCAGGAAGCAGGAGTTGAGGGAGTGGACGGTGGATGGCAAGGTTGCTGGCAGGACTAGGAGCTCTGGAAAGTTCACGTTCGCGACCGTAGATGCGGCAGGTCATATGGTAAGTCATGTTCCGTTCGGAAAGTAGATTTGATGCTGATCAGAAAACTCGAAGGTTCCGTACGACAAACCTAAGGAGTCGCTCGAGCTCGTCAATCGCTGGTTGTCAGGCAAAAGTTTGTAGCAGAGCGCATAAGCGCAGATGTATATCAATGGTGAAACAGCTTGTAAAAGTACTATCCAACATTTTGGGAGATCCAACTAGAGTTCTGAAAACACCTGTAGGTGAACATAGAGAGCAAAACGTTAGCAGGGGCAGATTTGGTATCCCAATATCCAAGACCTATGTAACGAGATAAGCTGGAGAACAAGAAGCGAAGGAATATCACGCACATCCACCAAAGTTTCCATCTAGAGTCTGCGTTCCTCTTTGGATGGCACGGCGAATTCACCCAACGTGACCCAGTCGTCCACCTACAGTTCCCTTCCTTGTGCTTGGCGAGTGGTTGGTCCACTGGTGGAAACAAGACTGTTTCGGTGCCCTTGACCTATCACAAAGATGTAAAAATGAGCAGAGGAACAGAACAGAAGGGTCCGCCCACTTACCCGCGAGATCATTCCCGCCGATAACCCACCCGACAAGCCCCCTCCCCCCCTTCTAGCCGGAGAGCACCATCCGTCGCTTCGCCACTGCAGCTGAGCTCCAAAGATCGGTATATGCATCTGCATATCCAACCGAAAGTGACGGTATGCTCATAGCACTAGCCAAGAGGTCGTTCGTCAAAGCGAGTAGTTGGCTTCCATGTTCAGACGAAGAGGCCGTACGTTAATTTTCATGTCGTGGCAACTAGGTTTCAAGGTCGGCTTCTGATGCGTACTGATCTGGAGAGAGAGAAAAACAGTATGAGGATGGTGATGTGCTACGAGAGAGACATTGAAAACTCACCTGGCTCTGTGCTCGGCCAGCGCCATCTCCTCCCTAAAATTCCAGCATCTAGTTTTCGTGCATGATGGTTGATAATCAAATACATTGACCGTCGATTTTGCGAAGATCCAGCGCAACAGAAGCTATGATCAGGGAAAACGATATGAGCGAACGATGAGAGTACGACGCCGACCAACTGACCGATCCATGCCCTTCAACGAGACTGGTAACCCCGCCGGCTGGCGTTATCTGAGCGCATTGTAGACGAGCTTCATATATCGGATTTATTGAGTGGCTGTTCCGTGGAATTGCGAGATGCCAAGGTCTGGTTAAGAGACAGGACGGCACGGGCATTGAGCAACGTGTTGAGCCGTGCTCTAAGGCGATGGCTCACCCATTTCATAGCGACGTATGTCCTTTCATCGCTCTTAAAATCAGGTTTCTTTGTATTTCGATCGCTTTCAAACTCCACTGGTGACCGTATCCCGAGGGTCTCGAACACCATACTAAAGGAGACTGGTCAGCGAGGGCCAAGTCAGAACAAGACCACTACGTACCCAAGTCTCAAATCACCCAGCATCTCAGTTTTCGCGAATTATTTTCGAGCCCAATTCCACAGTCATCGACGAAGAGAGAGCCTCCACTAGTCGAGCATTGACCACGAACAATAGCTTTCAAAATTGATGAAGTGTGAGCGCAAAACGTTTCCCTGATATACATGGGCGAACAGAACTCACGACAGCATATACAGTTCCCAAGCCTCGGTCATTTATTCAAGTGTTAAGATGAGAAGCTTGATAGAGTAGAATGTTGAGTAGATAGCAGGCGAAGAGATAAGTCGCGATCGAACATGGTGGTTCAAGTTAAAGCTGAGGGTCACACCGCTCCGCTCCTTCAATTCGGCACTTCCAGTTTTCTCAAACAACACCTTGTCAATCAAAAGAAGGAGCGGCCTAGCACACGCGATTATTCTCAAAAAGCAACTTGTTGCGAGTAATGGGCAAAGAAAACGTTTCAAAAGTAAACCCTTAAGCACTTCACCTCCCTGGCTGGGAGTCGAACCCAGCTTTCGCGCGAACCAGAGATGTACCAGTATGTGACAGGCGCGTGTACTAACCGATATACTACCAGGGAGCTGTTAGAAGGTTCAACCAACCAACTATATTCGTCTATCTTCACCCTGAGGCCAATGATTTGAACTAGGAAATACAGCCGACACCCCTAAGCCAAGGACCACTGAAACTAACCAGCGCTCAATTATTCACTTGGGCCCCTCCTTGACATTCTGGTTCCTTCCCCAATTGACATTCGACACTCCCGAGCCCTGATAGTTGCTCTGAACCCCCGCTCCCGGCGCGTTATAATTGCTGATAGTAGACCCAGAGGAAGGATGACCGCTGGCGGAGCCGTTGACCTGATCGCGACCGGGATGGGGAGTAAGTTCTATCCCATTCGGACCGATTCTGTGATAATACGTGTCACCGATGGTTAGACCTTCAACACCCGCGAAGAAGGTACTAGTGGAACTGCGATGGGCGGAATTGGTGGAACCACGGGAGTGGCTTTGGGCGCGATGGTAATCGGAGAAAGGATTGGGAGGATCATCAGAGAGGGTACTGGTGGGTTCTTCACACACGGGACCGGAAAGAACATCGAGGACACGATTGGCGGGATCCGACTCTTCGTAAGGGGGAGGCGGGTCCGAGAAGATACTCAAGGAGCGGCTCGACCTTGAGTTAGAAACATGAACACCGTTCCCAGTGACCATGTCAGTATTAGGGCCACGGTTGAAGTTCTGCTCGCCGCCGTATGTGTTGGAGACAGTTGTTTGCGACCGGCTGGATGAGGGACTGCTAGTGATTCTTTCGCCTTCGACATGACTGAAGTCGGAATGATTTGGGAAAACGGAAGTTTTGTGGCTGGTCGAGCCCTCTTCAATTGGGCTTACGTTCTCCTTTTAACAACGCAAGAGAAAGCAGAGAGTTAGCCATCAGCCATCGAATGAAAAGGAATGAAAGCTCACTCCAAGCAAGACTGCACGCTGCGCTTCAAATTGCTCCTCAAACTCTCCCTCCTGGTCGTCCATCATATTAAGACGCTCCCCTTTCTTGCCCGGAACCTTCTTCAATTCTTTCAAACCGTTGTAGCACTCCTCGATCGCCCTAGAACGAAGTTTACCATTCCGTCAACACGTCGATAGAATCAGACAAAAAGTCAAGACAAGTCAAACCTACGTCATAATCTTACGCGAGTCTTCGTCGAGCTTCTTCTTCCCCTTCTTCTCCGCTGACACCTCCATCTCAACGATCTTCCCGAACACCGCCTCGAGAACCACCTTCACCCGTTCCTCCTCCTCCTCGTCGAGATCCTATTCATAGTCAGTAAACCATTACCCAAGCAAGGATAGAAATCCAACTCACAAAGATCCAAGGCAGAACCGTCCACATATGCAACGCCACCTTGGCTAAATTCGCCAACTCCCCAGCTTTCCTGTCCCGAATCGTTCTGACCTGTTGGCGGACGACTGACTTCGGGTCTCGGACTTGAGCCCGAGCTTGAGGCTCAACGTCGGCGTTCTTAGTGTAGCGCATCTTGAATCGTTCGTTCGGTTGGGTTGGTGAAGTTGTAAGAGTCTGAGAGTTCTAAGTTGTGCGGTAGATACCCCAAACGAGCATCCCCTCGCCCGGTTTTATACACCTACTTCAATGATTTGTGGCATGAGCTTTGACCTTCACCACCGTTCAGTGGCCAGCTGTTGTTGTGCCACAGTCCACAGTCTCAGTTTCAAATTGATGGAGACAATAGTACTCAAATACCACACAAGGCTGATTTCTAAGACAAGCCAAATCGAGAGCTATTGTCAAAGCTTTGCCTCCGCTTCAACATTGAAACCAATTTGGGCCATCAACACTCAGCGTATGTGTAGTGTAGGTATGAATCTGACTTCGTATCATGGATTTACAGCTACAACTTAGAAGAAATTCCATAGATCGTTGTGCAACCAAACCACTCGAGGACAGACCGATTTCCTCTCGGAGTCATGATCAGAATTGCCGCCGATCATGGTAACCACAGATCGAACGATGGTGGGCTGTGGCAATGCCACCTGATATTTGTTGAAAGAACAGTCAGCGCAACTTGAATGCCGCTTGACGACGTAGAGTCATACGGGAATTGAGGGTCACGATTCGCGAAACATGACTCCATGACCCAGGTCCCATAGAACCTTTTTGGGAAATAGACGCCCTGGGGTCAGAGCCGCCCGAGCCGGAGTACTCCCGAGCCCCAAAGCTAGTCGTCTGGAAGATAATAAGGTCAATGTTGGATGATACTCAGACGTCCTCCGTGAAATAACAAAACGACATGAGGATTGAACGTGTGCATGAGGTTCGGCTATATTCTGAGACGATAGCTTACTCATCTCCGAGTCGGTATAGCATCTGCGAGTCCTTCTGGGTGCCATTCTCTGGGTTCCAGTCGGTCTTTCAGCGCCTTCGTGAGTATTTCGGTCGTTAAATTGGCTGAGATTACGCAACGTGAGGACCAAAAAGCCGTATACCAAGACTCACCATCGTCTCTCAAGTGTCGGGATAAGATTTCCCATCTTGAAATATTCGGACATCGGTAAAGTAAAGGCCCGTAATTGACAATTGACCGTGACAGCAGGCTAATCAAACGTGAGCGCAGAAGTCTTCCTGAAATAGTGATGTGTCGTGGTTGAACATAGCGGTTCAGGTTCAAGTCAGATGGCTAGGTCTATACTTATGTTTGTAGGACCAGTATATGCGATCGATCAGTCGGATTAATATGTAAGTACTTGGACCAGAGTCAAGCAAGTCTGAGTCTCGAGATAATTCTACCAATGGCACGAACGATTAGATGCACTGGCTAACGACAAAAAGCTGCAGGTTCCCTACCTCCCTGGCTGGGAGTCGAACCCAGCTTTCGCGCGACTCAATATCGAAGTCCATGATAAGGCCCATGACAGGCGCGTGTACTAACCGATATACTACCAGGGAGTTAATGTACTTCTCAAGCACCTGGTATCATCTGATACCGTATGTCACTTCAATATCATAATCATGATGCATACTATCAACAGCGTCCCAAATCAAGATCTAGATTAGTTTACATATTCCCCCCTCTCGATCCGTGATTGATATTCTGCCTGCCCGTTCCAGCATGATAATTCATCGCTCCGTTATAATGGTATGTCGTTCCACTGTTGGTCCCCGATCGCATATGGTTGACTGAAGCGAAACCGGGGGGATACGGACTGAAGTTGAGGTTCTGATCTCCCGAGCTCGGGTAAGACGCGGATGAGTGGGACTCGGAGTAAGTCGAGGAGCGAAAGTTTCCGTTCCTCACGGAGGAGGTCGACGTCTGGGTGAACACACCTCTATTGAGGCCAGTTGTTGAGTTACCCACACGCGCATTTCCTATATACTGACCCCCACGGTCAAAGCTGATGTTCTGCCTGCCGTAGCCGTGATGGTTGAAGGTAGAGGACCTCGAATCGCTGGATGAGAAATGGTGGTTGGACGTTCTGCTCCCGACCTGGCTGAGGTTGGGGTAGTCCCCGAGAAATCTTCCGTCGTTGAGAACGTCTTCTTGAACTGGTGAGCGCGTCGAATGAGCATTCCCCTGACGACGACATAAGATTAGCTACCAGACTCCACTAGATATATGAATGGAGAACTCACATTCAACACTGCTCCACACAGATTTTCAAACCTCTCCTCAAACTCCTTGACCCAGCGACCGATCTCTGCAACACGAGTCCATCCTTCCAGATTTGAGACACGCCGGAGATTTCCGTGCAGACCTTCTATCACGCTAGATCGTAGTTCACATCCCGTTAGTCGTGCGCACTCGTAGGATCGAAGGTAAATCAAGTCAACCCACCTCGTAACCTGACTCAAGTCCTCCTCAATCCCGCGGGTCCCCCCTCGTCTCTCCACATACTCTCGAATAACACAGATCTTCTGAAACACCCTCCACAGAAGCAACATCAACCGGTCTTTCTCAGCGGTCTTGAGGTTCTATTCACATTGCACCGTAGTCAGAAAACAGCACGAAATCCGAGGCTTAGCAGGTTACTCACGAAAACAGAAGCCACAGCCGCCCACGCATCTAACGCCACTTCCGCTGCGCTCGCGAGCTCGCCGTAGATTGGAGCATTCTCGTATGACGCGTCCCTGATTGTCGTGACCTGCTCGATGAGTGACTTCGGAATCTGGACCTCTGGGGCTTGGGAGGCGACGTTCTGAGTCTGGGAGGAGTACATCTCAGTAATTTCTCGCTTCGGGTACAGTTGGTCGGTTGGCTGGTTAGGTGTTTGAGTTGAATATTTCATTGCGCTGTGCCCGGGTTTATATACCTTCTTCAATGGTTGGTGGCACGACCCTTGCCCTTTGTTCAACGGCCAACCGCTTTGCCACATTCACATCTTCCGATTGGGGCAGACAATGAGCAGCGGGCCTAAGCAAGCCTCGTGCAACCATCGAGCCCAAATCACTGTATTTTTTCTATTGTTTATGCCACTTCGACACTTCAACAATCGGGAAAACAACGTCGACTCAACTCGAAGCTCTTATGATATTTGGATTGTAGAGTCGAGTCTAATTCTCACATGTATAGTAAGATTTCATTAATCTCGTGGGTCAACTTGAGAATGGATTCCGCCATCCGCGTGTTCTAGGATCCAGGATGATCAGAAGCTCCCTGGCCAGTGGCAGCTCAGATCGTACGACTGTGGCAACGCCCATGAACTGCTTACATTCGTTGGATGATAACGAGCGCAATGTCACCGAAGGTCGCTCTACGGTTCTCGCAATCTAGCACCGTTGTGAAATCAAGAACGACATTAAGACGCTGATTATTATAGCACCTTTTTGGAAAATAGACGCCCGGCTTGGGACGTGCCAAAGCAGTCAAGCAACCAAAATATCGGGTGCTTTGTTGTCCTCCAGGGAGGCTTCGTCAACAACTACCTACGGATTTAGAGCTCGAGTGGTTTATTCACAAAACGATGAAAACAGGAAGAACGTACTCCTAGATTTCTGACTGGGAACCAAACCCAGCTTTCGCGCGACACTCAACCGATTGATCCTCAACGTATTTTGTTGATAGATTTATTTCCGGTAATTGTTCCTTCTAATGACAAAGTTCTCGAGTCCGTTACAATTCAGAAATCTGCGTTCGTTTAAAGTTGACTACCATCGCCCAAGACTCAGCACCAAATCGGATTCAATGTCGAGCCGTCCGGCAGCTGAATCGAATCGTCAGTCATCCTCTCGCCGGCACTATTCGCATCCCGAGCCTTTCTGCCATTGCGATTTGCCTGCATCCTCAAGCCTATCTCCTCCGATTGACGTTGGAAGAACTCCCCCCAACTTTTCCGCAACTCTGGCGTGATACGATCATCCTGGCTGGGTGGTCCATCCCACCCGTGGATCTTCGTCTCCACACCTCCCATCTCAACGTCCGTCGGAGGGTCGCACCGATCTCCATGATTCGTGGATTCAAAAGAACTTGAAAGGCCGAGGACGACCTGGTATGTGATGAATGTTGTGCCCGAGTCAACATTGGAGACTTCGAAGTAGTACGTCACTTCGCCCGTGTGAATGTTGTAGGCGGCAAACCCCCCCGGCGGGAGAGCAGACCGGTTCTTGGCATTAGAGTTGCGTCTACGATGGCGTGGATCGGAATCCGCTGCAGGCGGCGTAGGCATAGGCTCTTCAGGAGGTGGAGGAGGAGCGGACTAGTGCACGAAAACAGAAAAGAGAACACATGTCAGTCAAGCCCAAGATCGATGAACCATCAAAAAGAAAGTCTGTACCTTAACAAACTCAACTGCCTCCTCAAGGCGTTTCGTCGCCCCCTTCAACTCTTCCACCACAAGATCCTTATTCCTTTCGTACCAGATGTCAGTACGATAAGCAACTGCGTTGAGGTACATCTCGGCTCCTTCCATCGTTCTAAATGCATGGTAAGACGTGAGCACCCTCTCTGGGACCACGTAAAACAATGGTAGGAAAACGTACTTTTCGACTATCCTCAAGGCTTCCGTCATCTCCACCCCTCTCCCCGAGCCTCGAGCCTCTATCGCCTCTTCAATAACGCATAGCTCATCAAAAGCCGCCCGAAGGAAAATTTTGAAGTGAATATCCAAGTCCTTTAGGAGGCCCTGATAATTGCATTATGTCAGTTAAACACACAACGGAAGCCTTGTTTCATTAGCACTCACATTCGACGAATCAACAACCCTCTTCATCCTAATTGCCACCTCAGCTGCCTTCGCCAGCGAACAAGCGCTAACTCGCATACCCTGCATCATTCTCACCCGGAGAGAGACAGGATGTGGGATGTCCGTGGGCTGGGGTTGCTCACCGCCAGCGGTGGGTTGCTTGTTTTGGGCCGCGTTCATCCTCTCCGGATCCCATTCCCAACATCCCCAAGAGCTAACATTTGAAGCGTTGTTATCGACGCTGAAACCGGAGTTGGACGTAGACTCCGAAGTCGGGTTCTGGGAAACGGGGAGTTCGACGTTATGTGCCATGTCGGTTTGTGCGTTTGAGCAGAGAAAAGAGAGAATGAGAGCAAGGAAATGAAGATTCGGTCGGCTGGGACGATGAGCGGTCAAAAAGAGCAAAGTTCGAGTAGGAAATAGATGCCCTTGAAGTCCGCCTTTTATGCAGACGTTCGATCGCCAGTGGCACTGGCAGCCAAACGCGAGTCAATGCCACAGTCTCAACCTGTAATTCATGCCGACAATAAGGTCACCATATTTGACACAGGCCATTGGAGAGACCTATTGTCAGGGACTTGGACCTTTCAGGCTCAGGCTCCCAGGTCATTGATCTTTCCTGAGCCGAAATCTAAGACATACTCGTAGGCCTTGTGTAGTCCTCAGAGCTTGACTATGCCGTCTCAATGAGATTGTGGAACAAGCCACTTCGATATCTGCGACACATGTGCATAGCCCCCGTGGTGATCGAAGAAACACACCCAGGCCACATAAGACGAAGCACAGCTAGTGGGTTGCCACGGGGATTTCTCCAGAAGGGCGCTCTGGACCTAAAAAACATTCATTGGCCGCTGATCTTAGCCCTCCGATAGTACTCTAACCTCTTATTGTCGACCTTCGGAGGATTAATCAATTCCCGAATCTAGGAGATTTCGAATCGCAAGATACGGAATAGAGGGAGACACAAGGGTCAACATTTCCGCAGGCTGAAACGATTGACATGAATCGTATTGCCATCATCTGGACAATCAACCACGGTTGCTTGCTACCAATGATGCTCGGCTAGCCTGAGTTCGTATCTGTAGGCACATAAGCTGCAAAAGACCAATCCTGTAGAGCCCAGATTCTGGCAAGCAGCCTCGAGAAGGGTAGCACGGCCAATTTTCCTGTCTGCACTCTATACCTATCTCCTTATTTGCAGCAGTATCCACGCCGTCTTCCCGCGACTAATAGCCTCTCACCAGGAACCGGACGAGGGCCTCGTACTATGCTTGAAACTCCCGTTCTCGGGTGTACGCAGCTGAAACGAACACCCATGCTGGTACACATAGTGTATTTAGCGAAGTGATAACCCATACGGTACGAAAACACCATACTATGTTTTCGAGTTGCTGATGATCCCATCAGTTTCGGGTTTGATAGGCGTGCCCCCCGCTCGGTCTTCCCGCTCTAGCTACGATCTACAGAACATCGCATGATAAACATATTCTTTCAGCATTCAAAGAGACGCACGGCGCGATCCGGTCCATACCTCGTGAGGTCGCGATGCATGCTGGTCTAGCTCGGAGGACCTCAAAGAGTATAAAAGTACCTCTTTTCGACTCATGTTAAATCAGAACACTTCTCCAGTTCGAGCTTACTCACATACAAAGTCGCCATGCAACTCTCCTCTGTTTTCGCCACCCTCGCTGTCCTCGCGGCCGCTGCTGGCACTGTCATGGGCAAGCGCCACACCGTCATGATCAATAGGTGGAGCACTTTGCAAATACC